GCTCTCTTTTTTTTTTTTATAAATTAAACTAAATAAAATTAATATTAACAAAAAATGCCCAAATTGTTTGGGCGTTACAAAAGGTGATCTCTCATTATTCATGTAACTTCATGAATTTGTTTTTCATATTGAAATAGTATTCAAGAAGATGGTTGACAACACAATGATACTTGAATAGTTTAAATAATCAATTGATTTGTTTTTTTTTTTTTTTTTTTGGCACTGTATTTTTAAAAGTTCTGATTATAATTTGAAAAAACTTTCCAATATTATTAAAATTTATGAATTAAAAGATAAATATACATTTTTTCTGGAAGTTCATATCTAGTAAATTTTAAAAGATGTCATAAGAGAGACTATTGTTACAACCTTTATGGAATTGATGATGGCTTGTTATTGCTTGATTAGGAAAGGAGATTAAAGGTAGAGATTTTTACAAGGGGACTAAATTCTTCCAACGTACTTGCCAATCTCTAAGTTATAAATCAGAGTCATAAATTCTTCAATATCCACCTTTAAGATTTGAAATCTTTCTCATTCAGTACTAAACAAAAAAAAAAAAAATTTCAAAATGCACCGTTTTAAGAAAATAGATTAGGTTCAGAAAACTGGATTTATAATTTTTTTTAAAAAAAATAGAAAATGTTTAAATTGAATTAGATTTAAATATTTTTGTAAATGACGGATTTAGATAATAAATTTTATTTTATTTTCTTTCAAAACTTAAACAAAACAAAAATTACATTAGATAAAATAAATGTATTATAAGGAGCATAACAATTTAATTACTTCAAGATGATGAAACAAAATTATTCTCACCAAATAATTATTTTTTTTTATCTTTTTATTTTACATCAAATAATTATTTTTTTCTTAATTTTTTCAAATTTTTAATTTGCATATTAACTTTTTTATTTCAGGACTTTTATTGAAAAAGGTAGAATTATTTTTATTTTATTACATCTTATAATTTTAGTAATTCAACTTTTCATTAACATTCTTATAAATCGATAATTAATAATTAACATACTATTCATTATTCATAAAATAATATTATTATCGTTCATAAATTAATCTTAATGAAATTTAAATATTATTATTATTGTTCTCTGCTGATAAAACAAAAACCTAGATTTCTGTGTAAGAAGAGACTGTAATTCCCCTGTATAAGAAATAAACTGAATACTGCAGAGAACGATATACTACGAGAATGATGAGAAATTGGGGATTAATCTGTCGTCTTCATCATCATCGTGCTTCATGTCTACGTTCAGTTTCCTCTTCCTATCATTTCACTGAAGCTCGAAAGTCACCTCCAATCGCTGTCTCATCCACCAATGGAACCCCCGAAAGGCCCTTCTCCACTGTTTCATCTTTTTCCAGCTCCCTACAATTTCATCCCTCCAATCTTTCTCCTCAGTGCCCTAGAACTTTCAGCTCTTCCTCAGCAGGTGCTCGACTCTTTTTCGTCTCTCTTTTTAACTGTTTGCTGTGTTTTATAATCGCGGCTGATGTTTTTTCGTTTCGGGTTTTGCTATTCTGTTCTCTTTCGTCTCATTTCCGATCGTTCTTGAGTCATTTTGCATTACCTTCGTTTTCTAGATGTTAAAGAAACCAATGCTGCTATCAATAGTTTATTGGAAGCTGATAATTTTATTTCAGGTCCATCCAACATTGTTCTTGTTAAATCAAAATAAAATATGAATACTTCACTTAGCAAAGCTCAAGGTGCCTGTTCTTTTGTACGCATTTTTCACATTATTATTAAAATTTTCTTTTAGTGGTTTTCAATATATCTTTTTGCTTACTTTATTTTCTTCTTAAATTCAAAATCACTGTAACAGATGGATCTCTGCCAGCAATTTTCTATTTCACTGCTGTTTGGTGCGGACCTTGTAAGTTTTTGTTATTATTTCCTTGAACTATCATTTGCTTCATCGTTGCATGCCATCTTAAAGAAATTATTGTAGTGGTTTAAAGAAGAATCTTTTTAATAACCTTATGTTTTTTTCTTTTGAAAACTTTTTAGTAACCTATGTTATGATGACGTTCCCCAGGCAGGTTCATAGCACCAGTAATTGAAGAACTCAGTGCGAGATATCCTCCAGTAACGATATTTAAGATCGATATTGATGAGGTATGGGATCATGATGTAAACCCTGATCATTTAAGCTCCAGTTCACTGTGATTTTGTTTCTCCAAAAACATCTAAATATTACATGATCACCTTTTATATTATTATGCTTTGGATATAAAGGCCCAGTTTTGATTGCAAATAAAAAATTTGTGGATTAATTATTTGTTTATTCTCAATGTTATTTTGTTGGAAATTTTAACTGTCTTCAATTGAAAGCAGTATTGTGAAAGGAAAAAAATTGGAACATGAAATTTCTATTGCATGTCTTTTAGTTTTATATGCAAAGTATGATATCGTATGATTTCTTAGAAACTTCAAAACCTATTTCTGTGGAACACACTCATTGCTTATAAGTGGGGTGGGCTTTAAATTCTTTGGGTATTCTTGGATGTATGATAGGTTCTAGTCAGAAGCCAATGGAAATTATAAAGAAATTCTCTTAGGGTGAGAATAAACTACAAGTTTTTATTCAAAAATTGTCTTCCCCATTGCTGTTCATCAGCAGTTTTAAATACACAAAAAATATAACTGATGGTTCCTACTTTTCAGCAACTAAGATAATGGGAAAAGAACATGAATTTCAAAATGGAATAATGGCTTCAACTGCTTGCTTATCTAGGCTACTGCAATGGCTGGTCTACTGCTGCAGATACTTTAGGTTCCTCTTGGCTTTCGGTGGGGACATCATAGTGTAACATTACCTCCCCCTTTTTCAGGAACCTTGTTCTCAAGGTTCAGATAGCCAAATTTTTCTTACAACTCTGCTGCCAGTTTCTTTAATTCGTCCATAACCTAATCCATGGTGGGTCTAATTTCTGAACCCTCCTGTTGTAGTGCAAGACTGCTGCATGTCGTCCCTTTTCTGGATCCCTCGCCTCTCACTTCAGTTCTTCTGTTTCATTCTCTTCTGTTTCTCCCTCGTTTTGCCAACCTTTTTTTTTGCTTTTCCGATCCTCTCCCTCAGTTTCGTTCTTCATGTATTTGTCTACAAGCCAAGGCACTTGTGAGCGGCTCTTAAAACCACCAAAAGTTGTTTCTTTCCAAACGCGCTCAGTTACCAACTGGAAAGGATGAGTTGATATCTCCTGACCAGATGCTGCAACCCCCACAATAATAGAGGTCCCCCATTCCTTGTGACAACAGCCTAAAGCAGCTCTCATTACAGAGACATATCCAATACACACAAAGTTGTAGCCAATCCCACCATCAATGAGATCATCAAGAGCCTGCTGAATTGGTTTGTCATGATCTTTTGGATTCACAAATTCTGTGACTTTGAAATCGTTTGCTCTATCAAACTTCTCGCTGTTAATATCTATACCAATGATCCTTGAAGGTCCTGCTGCTTTTGCACCCTTTGCAACAACAAAAATTAAATTGTTGGGATTTTTTCAGGTGGAGAAAAAATTAAATTTCCATTGACTTCACTTCTTCAAAATTAACAACTTAAAGTGTCTTTAAATCCAAATTTTTTAAAAATAATCTACCACTATTTAAAAGATAAATACAAATCAAATTTTCTAAAAGATAAACTCCTACTAATAACATAATTTTTAAAAAATAAATATGTTCTAAATTTAACTAAAAATAAATTCTATTTGAATTCAAACTAATAAATAAAATAAATTATAATTTCTACATTTATCTTCAACACTCTCTCTTAATATAGAAATTATAATCACCAAATTTATTTTGTTGAAGCACTTTTCTCCAATATTTCTTGTTTGATATTCATATTCCGAATCACTTTTTTTCAATTGTTGATGTTCTTCTCACCAATCTCTGGTGATTGATGCACTTCTCATCAATTTTCAAATATGTAGTGCTATTGTCATCAAAATCTTTTGTAGCATTTCTTTCCAAATTTTAAAAG